AGATTGCCCAACCTTCCTTCTGAGGAGTGGCTGGTGGGTTTGAACTGCCAGCCTTCTGGTTAGCAGTCAAATGCCTTAGGCACTATGCCACCAGAATAAGCCTAGAGTTTAAACAATCTTTAATATTATCCTATGATTATGTGCCCCAATCGAATATTTCAAGAACTAAAAATATCTTCTGAGAGATGTCTGCAACAATTTTTCTCTATCAACTTTAAGAGTCATATGAACCATTCAAAATTCATAAACATATTTTTCTAAGAAAAAGGTACAAAGACTCCTAAAGTACTGCTCGTTCAATATTGCTTTTACTGAGAAAATTAAGTATGACTTAAATATAGTAAAATAAATATTTTAAAATAAGCTAATTTTATTTGGAAACATGAAGGTTGACAACCAGCTAAGGAGAAAGTGAGGCATTTCTGAAGATATATTAAGATAAAATACAGAGGACAAATATGGTTGCCTCTATTAGGTGACCCTTAGATATTGTGTGTGTGTGCGCATATACACACATGGTATTTGCAAAGCAAATTTCCAGAAATTTCTAAAATGGTCTCCAGAAATTTTAAGTAAAAAATATTATAGATATCAAACCTCTTTAATGTTAACAATATTATGTAAAATGTGAATACTTCCTACATAGAAGTATATGAATTTTATAAAACTTAGTGTTTATGAGTCTAAAAGAACACTTAAACATATGAGGACTAGATTTGGGGCCATACTTATTTTTCTTACACATTTGTGTATTTGATCCTGTTACAGTAGAACTCTGTGAAATTTTGTTCCACACATATCAGTCCTGAAAAAAAATCCATTTATTACCAAACACACCTGGAGCAATAGTGGGTAAAAGTCCAACAGAAACATCCACTGCAAACCACTCCAGAAGGAATCCTTTCCCTGAGACTGAAGAGTCAGAAGAAAACTGGAATGTCAAAGAATTTCTAGAGGAGCTAAAAGATGCTGTCTGGGTACCACAGTAAGTTCCAATCTGGCGGGAATGAGTGCCAAGTCCATCATAAACCTGCATGTAAAACACAGAAAATAGAGCATCATATTTAGGGCAGTATCTTTTTCTTCTTCATAAAAAGAAAACTAAAAGAATGTCTTATATTACTACCATTTCAGTATAATTGGGAAAAATATGGTAAAAGAGGAAATTTCTTACTACAGTTTAAAATTGCAAAGTGCCATTAAATATAAAATATGGCTGCAAAGAATTAAATGTGTTTGAAAAATATTTATATCTTTGTTGCAGAATTATATTAATAAACATGCTTTCTGGGATATAACCTATTAGATGATTTACAGTAAAATTTATGGTAAAAAGTAAGAACTAGGTGAGCTGCACAACAGCAGTGCTCCATGAATGAATGCACTTTGGGAGGCTTAAAGGGGGGAATGAAAAAGAAAGGGAATTAATAGCATGAAAGAGTACAGGTTGCATGAGAAAAAACAGACAGGTACCCTAAAGGAGTTCTTATTGCCATAAAAGTGAAGAAGCAGAATTAAATACAGACAAAGAATCACAGCTTGAAGGGATCAGCACATTCAAAGCACTCGATCAATCTTTTTCATTGGCTTAAAATATTAAATCACCTATTTGAAATGTGGAGGCATATTTTCTGAAAGTTTCCAAACATAGAGAGTATGGAGCACATTTCTTTTTCTGCACATGTGGATGAATGTTATCTAACCATATTCCTAACCTTCCCTCCATCTTCTCCTGAATAATTTGTCACAAATTCATTGGAAGAATTATTATGAAATTCCCTAGTAACTCAACTATATAAGCTCAATTTTACAAATTATGTAATAATCCTTTTTGCACATATTGAGCATCTATCAGGTATACTGAGTTTGATGCAAGGCACTATGGACACAAAGGTAAATTAGATAGGATATGGGTCTTCAAGGATTTGAAGCTCTTTCTGAAACTGATCTAGTAGCCAAAGTCTGAATGGCAATAAAAACATAATATAGAGATAGATAGGTAGGTAGGTAGGTAAGTAGGTAGATATATAGAAGCTCTGGTAGCATAGTGCCTAAGGCACTTGACTGCTAACCAGAAGCCTGGCGGTTCAAATCCACCAGCCACTCCTCAGAAGGAGGGTTAGGCAATCTACTTCTGTAGTGGTACTGCCTGAGAAACCCAAGGAGGGATCGATCTGTTTTTATATATATTTATACACACACACACACACACACATACACATAATTTTAAAATTATTCAAAATGTAAATCTTTTAACATAAGAGTAAACAGGATGATAGGATATAAGATTGAATAAATACTTAAAGGAATGCTAGTGATGCAGTGGTTAAGTACTCTACTGCTAACCAAAAGGTCAGCAATTTGAACACACCATCTACTCTGCTGGAGAAAGATGTGGCAGTCTGCTTTTTTTGTGTGTGTGTGTGATTTGGGTGAAGATTTACAGAGCAAATTCACTTTTCATACAGCAGTTCACATATACTTTATCTCATGTCATTGACCACAGTTTATCACAATGCAACAGCTCCCCTCCCACTTCCTCCCCATAGTTACTTCTTCCCAGTAACCATTCCTCCGTACTCTCCTGCACCCTGAGCTGTCTCCCTGTGCATAAGCAGCCCTTCCTTCTCCCATGATTGTTCTCTCTAGGGTGTGTCTCTACTTGAGGTAGATGTTTAACTCACATGCCTGTACATTGTTTGGCTGGCAACCACAGGTGTGGGTTCAATTCCAGACCTGAAGGGCAGCTAGGGGCCATAGTCTCAGTGGTT